ATACCATGTTCTTAAGCATACTAAACTCTCCCTTAATTTCAGTCATTCCAAAAGGAATGGAGCTAAACAAAGGCATTCAAACCAAGGAAAATAGCACACAACACTTCACGAAAAAAACTTATCTTTTAAAGTAATCATTGTATCTTTCTTTTGGATGACATTGTTTATTGTAAGACATCATTTTTATTAAATACACTGTAATACAAGAGACTTTCCATGTCATGTTGAGAGAAGCTGGTCACATGATTCACAAACAAAACTTTTAACACTGATATCTAGGCATCACTTTGAAATCAGCCAAGATGCAATGAAAGTTTTAAAGCAATGACTGCTATAACAAACTGCAAAACAAGAACCACTAAATATTTGCACAGAGACATCACATTTAAAAATAAATAAATAAATAGATAGGTAAATAAATAAATAACAGAAAAAAAAATGAAAGGAGAAAGATAGCTCTAAACACCAGGTCACAGTTTGGTGACAATATAGAGATTTATATTTATATGTAGACATCTCCCTCTCTCTATTATTAGATGACAAAGAGAGATATCTAGAAATATATACATACATAAAGGATAGGCGGAAAGCAGGGCTGGGACAAATATTTTGTAATTAATTGGTTCTCTCTCTACTGGTGATATAATTAAACATCAATGTTGAATTAAATTACTTGTATATAAAACATTCTTAGCTGCTTTTCTTTAAGATACAGAAAGATACATATAAGCTGCAAGATATAGGCCTCTAGAAAGATTTGACTTGATCTCTGTTTTCTTACATTTTCCTGTCAATATCAGCCTCACTACAAGCAGCTTCTACTATCCTTGCCCAAAGTAGTTAGTGTTTATAAAACACCAGCTGGTTGTCATGCAGAACCTTCTACAAGCAAACAAAAAAACCCCATAGACCTGGTCTAGAATGCATAGACGGTAAAATAATACACCCATCATTTCCCATTTCTTCTCCTGAGACGTATACTTAAAAGATGGCAAAATAGTCACTTGGTTGCTGTTGTGAAATTCACAGTGTTTTCCCTGCAACATGTAGACTTTTTTTTTGCTTCATATTTATGATGAATGTAACAAAATAAACCCAAAGCCCCCCCTAAAACAAAGGTATTTTAACTAAGGCTCTTCAAGGACCTCTTGATTCAAAGCAGCAGTGTTTCATCCCAGCCCTGACAACAAGAATATACAACTTCGTGTGCTATCAAAACCTTCATCTTTGATTAGAAACCCCCATCTCTTCCCCAGCCCCTCCCCACTTCCCTCTCTCACATTTTATAGCTGTATTTGAAATTCATTTACAGGCTGCAACAACCCAGAGACCACATATGCCAACATGTGCGCTGTACCTTAGTCATCCAGCGACCTGACCATTTTACTGGGTTATTTATCTCCTTTTTAAGAGAGTTTTTTAAAAGCTTACATCAACCACAACAAAAATAATCTATCTTAAAAAAAGGTGGGGTAAAGGGATGGAGAATAAGAAATGAGAAAACTAGAAACAAAAGGAGGGACGGAAGGAGAAATTAAATAAAGAAAAAAAACAGAGAGAGGGGGTAAGAGTTTTTTTAAAAGAGAGAGAAAGAGAGAAAGGGAGAAAGAGAGAGAGGAAGAAAGAAAGAGAGAAAGGGAGAAAGAGAGAAAGGGAGAAAGAGAGAGAGGAAGAGAGGAAGAAAGGGAGAAAGAGAGAAAGAGAGCAAGAAAGAAAGAGAAAGAAGAGAAAAGAAGGAGTAAAAGGGGAAAAAGGAAAAATATATTTATCAAACCATATACAATATATAGATATATTGATTTACAAATCAAAATAAGTCCTTTTAAAAAGGGTACACTCCATCATGCATCATGGGTGGCTGTTACTGTACAAATATCTGTTCACAATACTGAGTTCTGCAGATCTATGGAGGATGAAGGACAAAGTGTGGCGAATGCTGCTATTATTACCGCTGAATTTTAGCGTTCTCACCAGTGTCCTACAAGTTGTGTTGCAGTCTGAATAGTCCAGCTCATTCTTGGAATTATTTTGCTACTGCAGATGAATATAAAAAGCTAATGGAGCTGCACTGTTATTCCAGGACAATAAAACAATAGCACAAACCCCAAAATGATGGTAAATCCAACTCTGCTTTTGGAGCTCAGATGCTAATCTGTTCATTTCCTTGTGAGAAATCAACAAGTGATATGGGAATGGTAAAAATGTTTTTATGCAATCACTTAGGGGAAGAAAAAAGTGCTTGTCATTGTATCTCTGGCATTCTAGCACTTCCTCTGCTGCACACCAGTTAAAGAGTCGAGTCTTAAAAACATAGGAAAAGAAACATCAAAAGAAAAAAATGGTTTTGGTTACTCAGCAGACTTTTATCAATTTATTAATAGCACTCTATTCTAATTATCATTTGTAATCACATAGGTGTATGCAAATTTATACATATACACACAGCCCATAATGTGCATGCATGTCTGCACATATATAAATAAAATACAACAGACATACGCATACATGTATATGCTATGTGTGTGTATATATATATGCCATATGTAAACACACATATATAATATATATTATATATATGATCAGTTTATAGCGTAGCCCATAAAGACTTTTTAAATGAACCTGATTGATTGTCATATTTACTCAGTGTACATGATTTAGCTAACAGTGCAAGCATGATGAATGTGCACATATACCCACCCCATACTGTGATTTGAACACATTTCTTCTTCTTTACTCATTTTGCTAAACTTACCCACCTTTTCATGAATAAACGCAAAACATGTATAGCTATAGTTAACAGCTTGTCTATTTTGATTATACATTGTAAGCACTATCAAGAACATTTATGATATAGGTCAAGGTTATTCATACCAGTGGCTCTGAAGAACATTTGGTCCTTTAGAAGTTTAACATACTGCTATGTTATTGCACAATGCATTGCAACGCTATTTATTTTCTGAAATAACTCTAAGAGTCTCACTAGTGAATCGAAAAGAAGATGTCTCTAAGTACAAATTCAGGGTTTTGTTGGTTTGTGTTTTTTTTTTTTTTTTTTGGTATACATTCTTTCAGTGTTTGCAAAACCCACCTGGTTGCTTTCAGGCTAGAGCCTGCTTTCCCACAGAAGAGCATCTCAGATGCTTTTTTTTTCTAAAGCTCCTAAGAAACTAAGAGAGAATGTATCAGGCAGAAGCTTCCCCTACCAACACCTGCAATCCTTTCCCATCATACAGCCTCAGCAGTCTCTGGCATCTTCCTTCTCCCCCTTCTGTTTTATTGAAAATGAACTTCAAAATCCTTCAAAAAGCAAAATTCAGATTCTCAAGCAGATGGGTTTCACTGGATGCTCATCATTATCCAACTTTCAGTGTGAACTTCCAAGACAGTCTATATAAAATCTTAAGGCCCATTTTGTAGGAATCTTCCTCTGGCTTTTTGAGTGTTTCCAGTTCAGCAGAAGATAAGAAATAACACTTAGTTTATTAAAGAAATACTGAGTATGGCTTCATAGTTACACTGTCATGTTTATTTGTAATGCTGCCTTTTCAATGACATTAAGAAGGGTAAAACTCCATTACTGTCCAGTAAACTTTTCTTCCAAAAATGTTCGAAAAATCTTTACTACTAGTTCTAAAAATTTCTGAAGAAAAAAACTAAAGTGCCTCAATACATAATATATGCAAGCAAATCATATACTAAAAATGTCATGGGAACACTTACAAAAATAAAATGCTTAATTTATTAAATAAAATACCCCTAACATAGATGGAGGACTATTTTGATCTGGCTCATATTGTTAAGAAGAAACAAACGAGAAAAAGAAAAGAAACATAACTTTTTTTTGCAGTAATGCCCCCTCACAGAGGGAGGCAAAAGTCTTGAGGAATAGGTAGGGTAGGGTTTTTTTTTTTTGTAAGAATTCATATTAAAAATAATCCTAACTCTAAATCAGAAATCTTCAACTTCCAGTTTGAAAAATAACAGATATGCCCATGCAGTTGTCAAAAACACAGTGGCCATGCAAATGCTGTACACGTACAATGCCCATCCAAACAAAAATTAATAATTTAAGAAATGGATGCTCAGAATGACAGCACTAGTACTGACAGGAATGTAGTGCTGAGCTCTGGTGTGTGCTCTCTGACTAGCAAGCCATAACCTCAGAGTCACATTTGTTTTCTCCAGGGATCTCACTATTCTCTGCCATGGCTCAAACATAACCAGCAATCTCTGTGCTTTACATTACTCATGTAGTATCAGCCTGTTGTATCTGTAACATTGTAAAGGCATTTTAACATAGCTAATGTCCTCCATTAGCTCCATTTAATGAAATATAAGTTATACCATTATGAGTTTGCTATGCATAATAGGGTGCACTACAAGATGAATGACAGTTTCTGCACAAAGGGCATTAGTCGATGAAGACCATGCATGGTTTCGGCTGCATGGTTGGAAAAAAAAGAAAAAAAAAGAAAAGATAAAAAGATTTGAGGAAGTAAGGAATATGCTGCTGGCCAAGCACAGTATAAGATACGCCAGCCCCAGAATCAATAGCTTGCCCTATCTTTTATCAAAACCATTACTTCAACACTTGATCCTGAAATTAATACTGTACATCTGTAGCTTCAGTCTTTATTACCAAAGATGAGCTGGAAAACATTTCTATACCAATGGCATGACAATATGGGCATGTGTTTAGTTTATCATGATGTACCATAATTGTGTGCGCTGCAGGCAGCATCTTTTTCCCTTTTACCATAGACTTGTATCTGTTAATGAAAAGTGCTGGCCAAGCATCAACTTGAACAATCTCTCCAGGAAAGTGCTAAACTCCCTCTTGCTTCCATCAAATCATTTCAGTGTTTTTTTTTTTTAGTGGAGTTGGATGCCATCTGATCCCATAGTTTCTCCAGACAGTGCATCTCACAATGCTGTTTTTTCGCCATTTGGCGTTATCCCCACAAGAAATAAGCTTCATGTAGACAACAGTAGGCTTCTTGTCCACCCACATGCTGAAGCAAAAAAATTGAGGTGAATCCATAGAAACTCCCAGTATCTGTACAGCAGAAATCACAAAGTTCGAGTCAAATATATTTTTCCCTTTTTTCATCCACATCAAAGGCATGAATACAACAAGGCATTGTTAGTTGTGGTGGGCAAACTGGAGAGTCTGCTGATATAACAGATCAGGTTTTTAAGGCCTTTGTCTATGCAGAGTTACAATAATGCAGAAGCCAAATTGATTAGAAAGAGAGAAGAGAGAAAAAATGATAGAAACTGAAAGACAGAGAGAGAGAAAAGAGATATGTCTCAATAATGTCTTAAACGTCAGTACTGTGTCTACAGATGGAGAAGTGCACATTGCTTGCCCTTTGAAAGCTTCTCCACAACTTTGTAATTAATACTGTCAAAGTTAAGAACACATTTTAATGGAGTTCAGCGGCAGTTGAACACATTCATTCACGCAGCCCATAAGAAGAAATGCTAGGAGGCGTTAGCCTAAAATATCCAGGTAGACTGGAGATGCCTTGGCCAAGTTCTGGAGAAGGGAATGGATTTCTTTGATGTTGAGCCTCATGTGAGGCTCTCGTTGCCAACAGCCCAGCATCAAGTCATACACTTCCTTGGGGCATGTGCGAGGTCGCTGCAGGACTCGGCCCTGAGTGATGCACTCAATCACCTATGAAAAATCACAAAGAAAGGATCAGTGTGATTGTGCAAACTACATGAGACTCACCTATAAGAGAGTTAGCTTCTCATGGCAGTCTCAGAAAATCTCCAGAATCTTTCAATTTATTGAAGACTGGTTTAGAACAGCCACTCTACAACAATGACATGTCTTGATGTGTAACAGAAATCGCCCAAAGTCAGGTAAGCTCCTTTCCATTGCCAAAGGAAGAAGCTACATCCCAACTTGGTCCAATTGTACTTAAATTAACTCCTATCCTTCTACCTTAAGGGAGAAAAGAGTGAAAAAGATGAACTTCAACCATAGTGTTCAAGACAATGCCATAAATACTTACAATCAGAGTTACTGCTTTGACTAAATATATTTCTATCCCTTTCATGGAGAAGCCACATCATCATATAAAGTGCCATCCTTCCTTATACACACCTCGTTGTTTGAGAGCTGATACCATGGCTGTTTGCCATAGGTAAAGATTTCCCATAAAACAACCCCCAGGCTCCAGACGTCACTTTCTGTGGTAAACTTCCTGTACATGATACTCTCTGGAGGCATCCAACGAATGGGTAGCATGGTGTGGCCCCCAACCTGAGAAAGACAAAGGAAAGAGTCAGAAGTAATTGCTTTAGACTCTCATGAGCAGAGTCATGATGGCAGCAAGAGGCTAAACCAGAGAATGCTAAACATTTCCTTTTTGCCATTCATCTAATTTCGTAAGAAGCAGTAAGCTATGATCTGAACTTCTCTCTTCCAGAGCAGCAATTATTAACATGACAGATTTCTCAACAGAATCTCCTAAGGAACTGTTTCTGAAGAACCAAATTTCTAACATATATTTGGCACTCCCTAACCAAGGAAATGAATAAACACTGAAATTATTGATTAACCAAACCTGTTAATCTATTTTAAGTTAGGCCAGTTTTACACTCTCTTTTAAAAGCAAGGAAACTGTGAAAGATGCAGGTAATGAAATCTTCAATGACGATTCTCCTAGAAATTCTGTCATTTCGACTGAGATCCATGAAGACACAGTGCTTCGACAGTATGACAAATAGGATCTGAACCTAAGGTTTAATATCTTACTTTGAATGAATTAAACCAATGTTATTGCCTTTGCAAATGTAATAAATGCCTGAAATTATTTTGTTCCACTTTAACTACCCAGCCCTACATAACTTCACAAAGATATAGTCACTTGATAAAAAAATAACTTTTAAGATGTAGACAACTGTGCCAAATGAACACAATCTGAATTCTCTAGGAATCTTTTCCTGAAAGAACGACATTGTGAAGGTCTCTAATCTACTAATTTTCTTCAAAATACTACATTTAAAAAAACTGAGCTACTTAACCTTAATTAAAAAAACAATCTCTTACTTTTATTCCCATTTCTTAAATGATTCGTTTTTCCCAGTATGTCACATTGTGATTGGATCAATAAATGAATAAATCAAAGACTTCTAAAACAGCATAACCACCTGAGCTGCTGTGACACAGATATATAGATATTCTAGGTACTTTTGCATCAAGGCAGCTGTGAATACCTGAGCAAGAAAAAAAAAAAAAGCTTTTCCAAGGACATCTAACTTTTGATTAATTCTCATTTTCCTGTCTGAAAATGTATTGTCTGAATACATTTGGATTATTACTTTTGATTAATTCTTATTTTCCTATTGGAAAATGCCTATTGTGAGGTCACAAGAGGCCCATTGTGAGACGGACCATCGTGAGGCAGCCCATTGTGAGGTCATGAGAGGTCCGTTGTGAGGAGGCGCATTGTGAGGTCACAAGAGGCCCATTGTGAGGCAGCCCATTGTGAGGCAGCCCATTGTGAGGTCATGAGAGTCCTGTTGTGAGGAGAGGCCCATTGTGAGGGCACGAGAGGCTCATTGCGAAGCGGCCCATTGTGAGGTCACGAGAGGAGCATAGTGAGGCGGCCCACTGTGTGACGTCCTATTGTGAGTTCACGAGAGCCCCATTGTGAGGTGGCCCATTGTGAGGCGACCTATGCTGAGGCAGCCCATTGTGAGGTCACGAAAGGCCCATTGTGAGGAGGCCCATTGTGAGGTCACGAGACACCCATTGTGAGGCAGCCCATTGTGAGGTCACAAGAGGCCCATTGTAAGGTCACAAGAGCAGCATTGTGAGGCAGCCGATTGTGAGGTGATGAGGGGCCCATTTTGTGGCGGACCACTGTGAGGCCGTGAGAGGCCCATTGTGAGGTCACGAGAGGCCCATTGTGAGGCGACCCATTATGAGGTAGCCCCTTGTGAGGTCACGAGAGGCCCATTGTGAGGCAGCCGATTGTGAGGCGGCCCATTGTGAGGTCACAAGAGGCCAATTGTGAAGCAGCCCATTGTGAGGTGGCCCATTGTGAGGTCATGAGAGGCCCACTGTGAGGCGGCCCATTGTGAAGTGGCACATTGTGAGGCGGCACATTGTGAGGCGACCCATTGTGAGATGACGAGAGGCCCCTTGTGAGGCAGCCCATTGTGAGGCAACCCATTGTGAGATGACGAGAGGCCCCTTGTGAGGCAGCCCATTGTGAGGCAGCCCATTGTGAGGTCATGAGAGTCCCATTGTGAGGCAGCCCACTGTGAGGCGGCCCATTGTGAGGTCACAAGAGGCCAATTGTGAAGCAGCCCATTGTGAGGTGGCCCACTGTGAGGCAAGGAGAGGCCCATTGTGAGGCGGCCCATTGTGAGGTGACCCACTGTGAGGTCATGAGAGGCCCATTGTGAGGTGGCTCATTGTGAGGTCACGAGAGGCACATTGTGACGTCAGGAGAGGCCCACTGTGAGGCGGCTCATTGTGAGGTAATGAGAGGCCCACTGAGAGGTCACGAGAGGTCCATTGCGAAGCAGCCCATTGTGAGGCGGCGCATTGTGAGGTCACAAGAGGCCCATTGTGAGGTGGCTTATTGTGAGGTCACGAGAGGCCCACTGTGAGGTGGCCCTTTGTGAGGCGACCCATGGAGAGGCAGCCCATTGTGAGGTCATGAGAGGCACACTGTGAGATCATGAGAGGCCCATTGTGAGGTGACCCATTGTGAGGTCACAAGACGCCCATTGTGAGGTGGCCTATTGTGAGGCGGCCTATTGTGAGGTCACGAGAGGCACATTGTGAGGTGGCACATTGTGAGGTGACGAGAGGCCCATTGTTAGGAGGCCCATTGTTAGGAGGCCCATTATGAGGTCATGACATACCCATTGTGAGGCGGCTCATTGTGAGGTCACAAGAGGCCCATTGTGAGGTCGCCAGAGGCCCATTGTGAGGCGGCCCATTGTGACGCGACCCATTGTGAGGTCATGAGAGGCCCGTTGTGAGGCGGCCCATTGAGGGGTGATGAGAGGCCCATTGTGAGGTCATGAGAGGCCCATTGTGAGGCGGACCATTGTGTGATGTCCCATTGCGAGGTCATGAGAGGCCCATTGTGGGGCGATCCATTTTGAGGCGATCCATTGTGAGGCAGCTCATTGTGAGGTCACAAGAGGCACATTGCTAGGCGGCCAACTGTGAGGCGGCCCACTGTGAGATCATGACAGGCGCATTGTGAGGCGGCCCATTGAGAAGTCACGAGAGGCCCACTGTGAGGTAGCCCATAGTGAGGCAGCCCTTTGTGAGCTCACAACAGGCCCATTGTGAGGAGGTAGGAACTTAAGGAAAAATTTCTTGACAGTGAGGGTGACAGAGCACAGGAACAGGCTGCCCAGAGAGGTTGTGGAGTCTCCTTCTCTGGAGATCTTCAAAACCCGCTTGGTTACAGTCCTGTGCCACGTGCTCTAGGTGACCCTGCCTGTGTAGAGGGGCTGGACTAGATGACCTCTAGAGGTCCCTTCCAACGTTAAGCATTCTATGATTCTATGAATCTGTGATTCTAATGTTGAAACAGCAAATGGAAGGAAAGCTCAATAGAAGTTCAGTCAGGATTCACAGTATTTCTAAATCACTCAGAAACTGCATTTCTAGCTACTTGTCAGTAACTCAGTATTAGTATAGCCTACCAAAAATACAGCTATTGCTATTAGGATTTAACTCTGTTCCATAGACTGACACAAATAAACGTTCACTACTGATCCCATCAAAATTGAAAAAGATATTAAAACTTTCATGGATGTGGTCTATTACTAGGCATATCTCCTCCCAGCCCTACCTGAGATGCTTTGCAAGTGAGTGAACAATATTTTTGTCCAATGTGCTGATTGAAAAGCAGGACTCCAAAGTTTAAGTCCTGGCTACACTGTGGATTTGTTTCTGACTCAATATAGGTTGCAGCACAGAGGCCTAAGCACCATTCAAAAAGAGACCCAACTCCTGCTGCTTTCAGTCGAACTTAAAAACATACACATGAGCACTCAAGTCGACAAGAGGATGGATGCACACTTTTTAAGTGTTTTGCTCAATTAGGTGCATTCATCTCCATGCTTCCATTTACCTGTCCAACAGGCAGAAGTGCTATAAGGCTCCATTCAGCAGATTTTTTAACGGTCCTTGACTGAGAAGTCCATCAGAAGGAACAGAGAGTTTGAAGTAACATATCAATATGCTTTGATTTGCCATTTTACCATAAGCTAAACTGAACATGGCAACCAAATGACTCCTTATCACCACTGTTACTCCCTGCTCAAGTGGTACTTCATTAGAAAGTCAAAAAAGTTAGTCCCTTAGAAACATGGAACCACATACACCCAGCCAAAGGGCAAGTGCCATTAAAAGGTGATTAGTGATGACAGACTTTTGGGCTCATCAAATATTAAAATGGCTCTTAGATCTCTTCATCATATAGCCTCTACAATTGGTTGTTTTCAACAATTTCTTTGAGTCATTCCTTAAAAATTAATGAAAGCTATAAACAAAAAAAAGTCTCTATTTTTTCTTATTTGCTACATCCTACATTGGCAGATTTTAAAAAAGCAATTAAAAAAAATCCAAATCTTCCTTTCCCCTAGTTCCTTGCTACAGAAGCACAATGTAGTTGTGGTAGGGCTGTGTCCTGAGTTTTCAGTGTCATTTGGTTAAATAAATACCCCTGGAGCAATCATGACAAATGACTGCCAAACGATAGATGTTGCAATGAACAGACCTAGTTGTCTGTCTCTGCAGTCATAGCAAGACTGACTCATCAGTACTGACACTTACGAAGAACTTGATATACAGATAAGCATACACCTTTGGCATTTGGCATTCTTCATGAGGCTGCACAACCACACACAGCCAGATATGGAGTCCTTTCTTATTCTTGGAGACAGAAGACTTTAGCAGGCAGACCATCAAGCTGGGACTGAGAAGTCATGACATCTATCCAGCTCTATCCCTGCTCTTCTCTATCATCTTGGACAAGCTACTTTTAATGCCTTAGATTACTTAGGACAATAATATTTAGGCTCTTGGCAAACTAAAAGGCGTCAGCTATGATTATAAAGGGTCTTCTCCTTGCCAGACTGTATTGCAAAGGAGATGTAGGAGAAACATTTGGTATTACCTGTGGTAGGCTGAACATCTTCCATCCTATCGGGTTTGATAGCAACTTCAACTCTCATCTCAGTTCAGCTATATCAAAAACACAGGCCAAGGTCTGGTTAAAGGCA